CACATAATCATGTGACACACAATACTGGTGACATAATCATGTGACATAATACAAGTGACACACACTATCAGTGACATAATCATGTGACATAATACCAGTGACATAATCATATGACACACAATATCAGTGACATAATCATGTGACACACAATATCAGTGACATAAACATATGACACACAATACCAATGACATAATCATGTGACACACACTATCAGTGACATAATCATGTGACACACACTATCAGAGAAACATTGGACATTTCTCCACAGGTCGACAAACATTCTGTACCAATATGATTTAAACACTGTTTTGTTGGCTTCAAATCTTACCTCATTTCATTATAAACTAACAAGATATTGCTGAACTCAAATTAGTTGCTTTCTAAAATTGAAACAAGATGGATAGAAGGTAAGATGATTTGTAAAATACATTCACATATAGTTATATAAATAAATATAAATATAGATCTATATTCCTTTGAAGAACATAAGAAACATTCCTGTAGTGATAAGTGGTGAGGACATAGCCACATACATCATCTAACATAGCAGTACTCTCTTACATAACAGATCTTACAGGCCACTACCGTCCTAAAGACATTCTCCACTTGTTTACTTTAAACATTTGGCAAAGTTGTAATAATCTTTGGTTTCAGAGTAAAAATAAAACATATTATTTTGAAAATTATGTAACATTTTATTAATGATATCATTTCCTCCACATTGCCAAAATGAGGTTCGAGTCACTTTGCGCTGTACTTACAAAGTATACAGGCCACTTTGTAGATTTTGATACACTTTTAAATGTGTCAATTTCATGGCAGTGTTATAAATGCAATTTAAAAAAAGAAAAATAAGTCAGTGGAACTTCAAAACCAATATTGACCACTGCATACAATATTTGTTCAAGCAAACAGGAAAACAACTTCTATATATATAGCAATATCTGTATACATGGGGTATATTCTTCTAATCCTTGTAATACAGGGAATAGAAAACAACATCTGTTTACAGTAATACAGGGGGTAGAAAATAACCCCTGTATACAGAAATACAGGGGGTAGAAAATAACCCCTGTATACAGAAATACAGGGGGTAGAAAATACACCATGCATACAGTAATACATAGATACAGTAACACATGGATTAGAAAATAACCCCTGTATACAGAAATACATTGATTAGAAAATAACTCCTGTATATCGAAATACATGGATTAGAAAATAACCACTGTTTATAGAAATACATGGATTAGAAAATAACCCCTGAATACAGAAATACATGATTAGAATATAATCCCTGTATACAGAAATACATGGACTAGAAGTATACAGTAATACACAGATTAGAAAATAACCCCTGTATAAAGAAATACATGGATTAGAAAATAACCCCTGTACCCAGAAATACATGGATTAGAAAATAATCCCTGTATACAATAATACATGGATTAAAAATTAACCCCTGTATACAGAAATACAGGGGGTAGAAATTAACTTATCTAAATAGCAATACAGAGGATAAAAAACTACCCCTATATAGTAATAAATGGTGTAAAAAAACACCTGTATACAGTAATCAAAGGGGGTAGAATAAAAAAAGAAAGATAACGACATCATGGATGATAGGTAATTGTGATGATTTATTAATTTGGAGGTGACGGTAGATGTAATAGCATGTAAATTGATGCACACCCTGTTTATTTCTAAGATCTAATACACGCTGCTTAGTAAAGGCTACGGTAAATGTCTTACATTTCAAGTGGCATCTTATATATGAAAACAATTCTGCAAAAATTAACAATGGCTAACAATGCTGGATAAAAATTGTTTTCTAGATAATATAATACATTAAAATGAAATGTAACCTCACATTAAAAACAAATGTAAGCTACATTAAAAAATACTAGTTACAAATATTTTTAATGATTTGACCAGAAGAATTTGAAGTTACTTACTGTACTTACACTGCAATACAGGGGTTGATGGAGATAGCATTATCACACATATTTGTGTATGCTTTGGCATCTGGTCAATATCACCCAGACTTACACAAAGTCAATTACAAAATACACACAACAAACAATTACTTTTGTCTGAGCTGATTTGTACAACATCGGGAGGGAATCAACAACAGCTGGTCATGATTTGGGTACAGCAGATAGTTGAGTACTGAGTACAATGTACAGGGGTACTGTAGTACTGAGTACATTGTACAGGGGTACTGAAGTACTGAGTAGATTGTACAGGGGTACTGTAGTACTGAGTACAATGTACAGGGGTACTGTAGTACTGAGTACATTGTACAGGGGCACTGTTGTACTGAGTACATTGTACAGGGGTACTGTAGTACTGAGTACAATGTACAGGGGTACTGTAGTACTGAGTACATTGTACAGGGGTACTGTAGTACTGAGTACAATGTACAGGGGTACTGTTGTACTGAGTACAATGTACAGGGGTACTGTAGTACGGAGTACATTGCACAGGATAACTGTAGTACTGAGTACATTGTACAGGGGTACTGTAGTCCTGAGTACATTGTACAGGGGTACTGTAGTACTGAGTACATTGTACACGGGTACTGTAGTCCTGAGTACATTGTACAGGGGTACTGTAGTACTAAGTACATTGAACAGGGGTACTGTAGTACTGAGTACAATGTACAGGGGTACTGTAGTACTGAGAACATTTTACAGGGGTACTGTAGTACTGAGTACATTGTACAGGGGCACTGTAGTACTGAGTACAATTTACAGGGGGACTGTAGTACTGAGTACATTTTACAGGGGTACTGTAGTACTGAGTACATTGTACAGGGGGTACTGTAGTACTGAGTACATTATACAGGGGTACTGTAGTACTGAGTACAATGTACAGGGGTACTGTAGTACTGAGTACATTATACAGGAGAACTGCAGTACTGAGTACATTGTACAGGGGTACTGTAGTCCTGAGTCCATTGTACAGGGGTACTGTAGTACTGAGTACAATGCACAGGGGTACTGTAGTACTGAGTACAATGTACAGGGGTTCTGTAGTACTGAGTACGTTGTGCAGGGGTACTGTAGTACTGAGTACATTATACAGGAGAACTGCAGTACTGAGTACATTGTACAGGGGTACTGTAGTCCTGAGTACATTGTACAGGGGTACTGTAGTACTGAGTACAATGCACAGGGGTACTGTAGTACTGAGTACAGTGTACAGGGGTACTGTAGTACTGAGTACATTGTACAGGGGCACTGTAGTACTGAGTACAATTTACAGGGGTACTGTAGTACTGAGTACATTTTACAGGGGAACTGTAGTACTGAGTACAATGTACAGGGGTACTGTAATACTGAGTACAATGTACAGGGGTACTGTAGTACGGAGTACATTGCACAGGATAACTGTAGTTCTGAGTACATTGTACAGGGGTACTGTAGTCCTGAGTACATTGTACAGGGGTACTGTAGTACTAAGTACATTGAACAGGGGTACTGTAGTACTGAGTACAATGTACAGGGGCACTGTAGTACTGAGTACAATGTACAGGGGTACTGTAATACTGAGTACAATGTACAGGGGTACTGTAGTACTGAGTACATTGTACAGGGGCACTGTTGTACTGAGTACATTGTACAGGGGTACTGTAGTACATTATACAGGGGGACTGTAGTACTGAGTACATTGTACAGGGGTACTGTAGTCCTGAGTACATTGTACAGGGGTACTGTAGTACTAAGTACATTGAACAGGGGTACTGTAGTACTGAGTACAATGTACAGGGGCACTGTAGTACTGAGTACAATGTACAGGGGTACTGTAGTGCGGAGTACATTGCACAGGATAACTGTAGTACTGAGTACATTGTACACGGGTACTGTAGTCCTGAGTACATTGTACAGGGGTACAGTAGTACTGAGTACATTGTACAGGGGTACTGTAGTCCTGAGTACATTGTACAGGGGTACTGTAGTATTGTTTAATGTATGTGGTACTGAAGTATTTGAACATAGGTAGTTGAGTACACTGGCTATGATCTGACACTGGATTATCCCCAAAAATGAGGACACAGATGTTCTAGGTTAGTTGCATGTGTACTGGGCATATAAAGAAACCTGGACTAGACATCAACATAGAACCAGTGTAGTGGGTTTATAGAAAATAATGTACATCACACAGAATCATACATTTTGTCTCAGTGACCCCTCTCACCTGTCTAAGGAACCTAGACCACCAATAGCAGCACCCAATAGACTGGACTAGTGGATCAAAGGACGGACCTGGATTTTATGCCAAAATGGACCGAAAGGAGCAGATCCTTGAGCCAGTCCGTATTTTCCATAAAACTGTGTATTAATTTTTGGAACGTTTTACACATATTTACATTGAATTGTAATTGAATTGTAATTGTGATAATAATAGCAAAACAATGTTCTGGAACCTTTTAACTATTAAACATTTCAGTTTTTCACATGAACACAAAAACAAGGTAACTTATAACTCAATACACACTTGTTTTACCATGGTGACTGTGTCTAGATAATCTTACCACACAGAATAAACAACCAAAATACTTGGTGCTGTTAGAAATACATTAGCTAGTAAGTGAGGCTGTATTCTGATCAACAGACCTGGGCTCCTGGTACTGGTCCAAACTACCCTCGTCACAACTACTGTCTGTCTAGACCATCACCAGGTGTCCCTCCGTAACTCATACACAGGTAATACGGTCAATGTACCCATGTACGCACACAGGCTATTTATTGTTGTTTTGTGATATTTATGGGTTCCCTGAAATTTTCCCAATGCATACAATTGACTACTCAGTATGTATATGTATCAGTGTGGGAGTTCATGAAGCAAGTTCCGTGACTGATATTTACAGTTTAAGGGCTGATAACAGGCACATGTGTATAGTGATCATTACAAACATAACAGTNAAATCCATCCACTGGTTCTTGAGAAGAAGTTGAAAATGTAAAAGTTTACGCACGACGCACGACGGACGACGGACGAAAAGCGATTAGAATAGGTCACTTGAGCAAAGCTCAGGTGACCTAATAATGCATCAAAAATCAATTAAAATGTCTAATTGAAGTGTTGGCTGTTTTCAATTGGTCATTCAAAATCATATTAAAGTAACTTATCAATAAGCTAAGAAAACTGTACAAAGGGAACAAGACGATCAGTGAGTATTACAATATGAAGGTACCATTGGGACATCTCTTGTGAAAGTACACATTGGATGTTGCAGAATTAAAACAAAAGTATATTGTAAAGCTTTTAATGCAACTATAACATTGTATATGAAATATACTGTAAAATGTTTTTGAAGAGTACATAATAAATAGGGTAAGCATACAAATGACCTCCAATGTTTAACACTGATTCAGGCGCTGTGGCTTGTTGGGATTCTCTTGGCAGTGTGGTGTTGTTCTTGCAGCTGATTGCACTGCAAATAGAAAATATATGATTCAATGATTGTTTTGTTTATACAGCAGACACTGATACAGGTATTAAAAAGGTAAACAGTGATTATTGTCCATACAAGTCATAGTACATTGTCACAATACTTATATTGTTCCAGTACATCATGGTCACAATATTTATAGAGTCCCAGTACATGGTCACAATACTTATATAGTCCCAGTACATTGTCACACTACTTATAGAGTCCCAGTACATGGTAACAATACTTATAGAATCCCAGTACATCATGGTCACAATACTTTTAGAGTCCCAGTACATGGTAACAATACTTATATAGTCCCAGTACATCATGGTCACAATACTTATAGAGTCCCAGTACATGGTAACAATACTTATAGAGTCCCAGTACATGGTCACAATACTTATAGATTCCCAGTACATGGTAACACTACTTATAGAGTCCCAGTACATCATGGTTGCAATACTTATAGAGTCCCAGAACATCATGATCGCACTACGTATAGAGTCCAAGAACATCATGGTTGCAATACTTATAGAGTCCCAGTACATGGTAACAATACTTATAGAGTCCCAGTACATGGTAACAATACTTATAGAGTCCCAGGACATCATGGTCACAATACTTATAAAGTCCCAGTACATGGTCACACTACTTATAGAGTCCAAGTACCTCATGGTCACACTACTTATATAGTCCCAGTACATCATGGTCACAATACTTATAGAGTCACAGAACATCATGGTCACAATACTTATGGAGTCCCAGTACATGGTCACACTACTTATAGAGTCACAGTACATCATGGTCACAATACTTATATAGTCCAACTACATGGTCACAATACTTATATAGTCACAGTACATGGTAACACTACTTATAGAGTCCCAGTACATGGTCACAATACTTATATAGTCCCAGTACATTGTCACAATACTTATAAGGTCCCAGTACATCATGGTCACAATACTTATATAGTCCCAGTGCATGGTCACAAAACTAATATAGTCCCAGTACATGGTCACAATACTTATATAGTCCCAGTACATTGTCACAATAATTATAGAGTCCCAGTACATTGTCACAATAATAATAGAGTCCCAGTACATTGTCACAATAATTATAGAGTCCCAGTACATGGTCACAATACTTATAGAGTCCCAGTACATCATGGTCACAATACTTATAGAGAGTCCCAGTACATCATGGTCAGAATACTTAAGAGTCCCAGTACATGGTCACAATTCTTATAGAGTCCCAGTACATCATGGTCACAATACTTATAGAGTCCCAGTACATCATGGTCACACTACTTATATAGTCCCAGTACATCATGGTCACAATTCTTATAGAGTCCAGTACATCATGGTCACAATACTTATAAGGTCCCAGTAAATCATGGTCACAATACTTAAAGAGTCCCAGTACATGGTCACAATTCTTATATAGTCCCAGTACATTGTCACAATACTTATACAGTCCCAGTACATCATGGTCAGAATACTTAAGAGTCCCAGTACATGGTCACAATTCTTATAGAGGCCCAGTACATCATGGTCACAATACTTATAAGGTCCCAGTACATCATGGTCACAATCCTTAAAGAGTCCCAGTACATGGTCACAATTCTTTTATAGTCCCAGTACATTGTCACAATACTTATAGAGTCCCAGTACATGGTCACAATACTTATATTGTGACAGTTCATGGTCACAATACTTATAGAGTCGCAGTTCATGGTCACAATACGTATAGCGTCCCAGTACATGGTCACAATACTGCTCCTTCTGCCAGTTTATCTTTAGTAGAAGTAACCTTGACCTTGATTTTTTTTTTTTAGACCCCTTTTGCACATTTTTAAATCATAGTGTATTGACATGTCAAATTTCAGAAAGAAATGATTTTTGGATTCAAGATTAGGACCATACCCCCATAGCCTATCTTTAGTAACAGTGACCTTGACCTGAAAAGATTTAAAAACCCTGATTGCACATCTAGTATATCACCATATCAAATTCCAAAAAAGTGAGTCTTTTGGTTTCTAAGATAATCTCCAGTAATGAAAGTGTGACAGACAGACGGACACCATGCTTACAGAAGGGCACCCATATCTCCGTATCTTATGATGTGGGCCCTAATAATCACATTGGATTGCCATCAAAGTTTAGGGAAGTTTACCACTGGAAGTAAGATTGAGTGACAGATAGAAATCTGAGGGAGGCTCCTACTCCTAGTCTGTCACAGCCTATTTAACATCACACAATGGGTACATATGGAAACCACTCCCGGATATCAGCAGGAAAAACCTGATCCTGCTATATATAGTAACATCATGTCATCGATCCCACTAGCATTATGAATGAAAACTACCCACAGTACAGACAGATGGTGACCACCCTTATTGTAGTATTAATTTATAAAAGATCGTTTTCCTTTATCTTTGACCTCTTTCTAATGTCAAACCAGGGTAGGCAGATTCAGTTTCTTTTTCATTTAAAGGTCATTTAAAATTTTGACATATAAGAATGATTTTTTGTATGATGCATTGAAATTGGACTAATTTTTAGTAATGGAACCCAGAAAATATAGAATGATACAAAATCTGTCCAAGGTTGTAAGTCCTAAAACAGGGGAGAGGAGATATACTGATTACAACTGACAAGCAATACATGGTAAACCAGGTAGTGTCTTATTTGCAGGCTTTAAAACATTTCATTACAGTAGATGTGATACTTTGTATAGAGTTTAAATTTACCAACAGTACAGTAGATGTTTTGTATATAGTATCAGATTTACCACCAAAACAGTAGATGTTTTGTATATAGTATCAGATTTACCAACAGTACAATAGATATTTTGTATGTAGTATCAGATTTACCAACAGTACAGTAGATATTTTGTATATAGTATCAGATTTACCAACAGTACAATAGATATTTTGTATATAGTATCAGATTTACCACCAGTACAGTAGATATTTTGTATATAGTATCAGATTTACCAACAGTACAATAGATATTTTGTATATAGTATCAGATTTACCAACAGTACAGTAGATATTTTGTATATAGTATCAGATTTACCAACAGTACAATAGATATTTTGTATATAGTATCAGATTTACCAACAGTACAGTAGATATTTTGTATATAGTATCAGATTTACCAACAGTACAATAGATATTTTGTATATAGTATCAGATTTACCAACAGTACAGTAGATATTTTGTATATAGTATCAGATTTACCAACAGTACAATAGATATTTTGTATATAGTATCAGATTTACCAACAGTACAATAGATATTTTGTATATAGTATCAGATTTACCAACAGTACAATAGATATTTTGTATATAGTATCAGATTTACCAACAGTACAATAGATATTTTGTATATAGTATCAGATTTACCACCAGTACAGTAGATATTTTGTATATAGTATCAGATTTACCAACAGTACAATAGATATTTTGTATATAGTATCAGATTTACCAACAGTACAGTAGATATTTTGTATATAGTATCAGATTTACCAACAGTACAGTAGATATTTTGTATATAGTATCAGATTTACCAACAGTACAATAGATATTTTGTATATAGTATCACGTTTACCACCAGTTCAGTAGATATTTTGTATATAGTATCAGATTTACCAACAGTACAGTAGATATATTTTGTATATAGTATCAGATTTATCACCAGTGCAGTAGATATTTTGTATATAGTATCAGATTTACCAACAGTACAATAGATATTTTGTATATAGTATCAGATTTACCAACAGTACAGTAGATATTTTATATATAGTATCAGATTTACCAATAGTACAATAGATATTTTGTATATAGTATCAAATTTACCACCAGTTCAGTAGATATTTTGTATATAGTATCAGATTTACCACCAGTACAATAGATATTTTGTATATAGTATCAGATTTACCAACAGTACAGTAGATATTTTATATATAGTATCAGATTTACCAATAGTACAATAGATATTTTGTATATATTATCAAATTTACCACCAGTTCAGTAGATATTTTGTATATAGTATCAGATTTTTCAACAGTACAATAGATATTTTGTATATAGTATTAGATTTACCAACAGTACAGTAGATATTTTGTATATAGTATCAGATTTTTCAACAGGACAATAGATATTTTGTATATAGTATCAGATTTACCACCAGTTCAGTAGATATTTTGTATATAGTATCAGATTTTTCAACAGTACAATAGATATTTTGTATATAGTATCAGATTTACCAACAGTACAATAGATGCGTAGATATTTGGTAATGGTAAGAACTATCTAGAGTACATATTTCTCCTCATATAGCCCGACTGACATAGTAAGATTCAGGCTGATTTGGCTAGTTAACCATGTGTAAGATTGTAAGGAGATCACACATGTGATCTAACTGAAATACTGACATTTTGTCAGATGAACTTATCAAAAACATACACTATGACTTACACCTACTTAACCTTATTTGCTATTAAAATCGTTTTAGGTTTATACAGTATGTAATGAAGCAATAGGCACTTAATGGTTGTCTGTGTGTGTAAGGTAATGTACAGACAAACTAGAACAGAGCGACAGGCTATGATGAATGGACAGTAAGCTACAGATTGTCAGTATACCTCACCAGTCTCTACTTAAACACCTGTAGATTGGTGGTTTTGATTGTGGTTTTTCCATATTTGAATTTTCTTTATGACCAATGAAGAACGTGACTCATTTCGGGAGCAATAGAAGTGTATTGGCTGATCCTATGTCAACATGACCTGGTTTTTACATGATCTCAACAATAACCTAAGAGGCTTCCCATATTTAACGCTGAACAAATGATTTTATCACAATTATCCTGTTTAGATAATTCATGCTATATTTGGAAATTTTCTGTATAGTTTAATGAATTTTTGAGTTGGTTCCAAACATTTTTACAAATGGCACCAAAAAAAATATGAAAGGTTATATACCATGTGTAAGAT